TTTAGGGAATTTTTAATAAAGACGTAGATTATTCTAGAAGGCTTTTCTGTGTCTCGAAATGAACTTTTGTAATATGACCGCATGTCGTTTGGCAATAATGCCGCAGATCTAAAACTAAAATAACTACTTTTACGAATAGAACTGAAAGAAGGGAATCACTTAAATAGGCATTAAAATTCTGTACATCGCTCTATAACCGCATAAATCAGATAGGCCTTAAGCTTAACCACAAAAAAATCACATCTAAATGATCTTTCAAAACTGGGAAATCTATTTTTCCATACTCACGGACCATTCGCGGCCCACTTGGTTCTAATTTATTACCGAAGGTTGAATTTGTATTGCGGCTGAGCGGCTGATACACTCTTCGAACCATTGAAACTAATGACTACTTCGCGTAAGAAATTCACAGGATAGTGATAATATCCTACCGTGTCGACTTGCAATACGCCGCAGCACTACTTAATATCTCCACGTTAACAATATTCTAACAAATACAAATTTCACATTCGACATAAGCAGGGAGCTTGTCCTCTAAGAGACTGGTTATATAACAGCATACAATAAAAAAAAGAAAACTTTAATACCGGCTAAAGATTCCTGGAAATTTTAAGCAGATTTTCTTATTTTTTTCCTGCGAGCCACGTGAATATATCGTGGCGTAACTGTTGAATTTAGGCTCTGATTCACGAAACGAATCGATCTGCATAAATGTAGGCGTCCGCTGGTACAAATAACGTGGGCAGACTCACCTAAAGTTTACGTTTTAGGTAAACAAATAAATATCCTCATGCAACATAAATTTTAACATCTCAAAAAATAACCCGATTTTTTTTGTTCTTTTTATTGCCCTTGTAGGCAGACGAGCATACGGTCCACCTGATGGTGAGTGGTTACCGTCGCCCATGGACTTCAGCAATGCCAATGTAGGGGCAGAGCCAAGCCGCTGCCTACTTGAATTCAAATTTGAATTGAATATTTGAATTCAAAATGTTGGTTCTATTGTTTTCATAAACAAAACAAGGACATTCATTGTCGGCAGTAAATAAATGAAGTGTTCTCTTGCAAATTCGATCAGTTTAACTTAAAACAATAACAGTGCGTTATTATTAAAACGTATTTATTTACATATTTTGCATCGATAAACCTCAAACACAGTCATTCTGCTTCTGCCGCGATCAATAATATATACCTATATATTACCGATTGAAATATTGGAACATCCATCGTATTGTACCATTAAGACTTAAACATAATGCAAGATAGGTGGTGACATTGTGAGATCTATGAATCCTGAAAACTCGTCGGAAGCGTTCACTTATCTAAGTAAAAAAACACCTTTACATTGTCTGGTATATGAGGTATTCAATCCAAGGAAACTTCTAGAGATAAAAGACCTACTACACCCCCATTTTCAAAATCATCATCAAAACACATAGTTCACTCTCAATCGGAACATAGTGGACATTCTATTTCTATTTTATTACTCCTACTATAATAACACTGTTTCCTGGTGCTATTTCTATTGCTAATATCTATTGAGTTGGTTTACTCATGCACGCAATAAAATATAATATAATATAAAATAGCCGCTGAGAACGCAATTATTGAGGAGCCAAATGCTTTCAAAATTATCTAATTTACGCGAGCAAGACTTTTTATGCGGAATCTCTTTCTTTTGTTAAAAACTACAGTGCAGTCTTCCCCATACTTCGTATTTCGTTCGACAACTCTAAATCGGCAGTCGTCCGCAATTACACCTGCAATCTTTCTTAGTCATACTCATTATTCCTGTGGCTATTTAACTTAAATTACAATAACATTACCGTTTCGGCGAAACCGCAAAAATCTCCGACTTGTATTTTGTGACTTAAGTTGAACATTAATGTGTTACACCATTTTCCGGTTGGAACCAACTTACAAGATCATTTACAACCTGTTTACAAAATGGACTCGACTTTTTTTTATTACTGTTTCAAACGTTATCTCTTTTTAGAAGTGCCCTCTGACAATTTTAAGAGCCCGTCCGATGACGATTTTCTTCTTTTTTTTTTTCGTTGTACCCCTTTGCTTCGCGCCGCGCACTCCGTCTTAATGTGGCATGTAAAATTATTAAAAATTACATCTCGTAAAGGACCTGTATAGACAAATTAAACAGATTTCCATTTTTATTGCGGGCAAAGATAACACGCTAATGAGCGTTCATTTTGTTTCGGTGGTGTCCTTTTGTACAATGCAATAAGGATAATATTATATTATGGTTCCTCGGATGATTGGTGAATAACTAAATTCTAAGCTAGCAATATTGTGCTGAGCTTGATCAATGTTTATCTTATGTAAATTTCTTAGAACGAGATGAATTAATAAAATAAAATAAATTAATCCGGCGCCATCCCATTCGAAAGTTTCGTAAATCAATATTATATCGCGAATCATCGAAAGAAACGGTAATATTTTTACTTCAAAGACACGATTCGGCCGTGAAGCAGTAATGCGTTTTGACTTGGCCTTCTTCTTTCCAACGAAGGCGGAATGCCAACGACTTGGATGAAAGTACCACCGCGGGATCGACACATAACGTCAGCACCATAAGAACTGTTACACTAAGTCCCTGTTGAAGGTCATCCGGCTTGAAAGGGGAGACGGCAGAAACGTGGGGCAGCCATTTTTACTACATATTATATAAAACGCAGACTTAAAACTTATATCTCAAAGTGGGTGGCGGAATTCACATTGTTGATGTCTATGAAATCCGGTAACCACTTAACATCGTTGTGGGCCATGAGCTAGCCCTCCGATCTAAGCTACAAAAAAGATAATGTTAAAACCTTACTAATTTATTGGACCGTCAAAATTGATTTATAAATTGTTTTCCGTCTATCAAATATACACATGTGTCGCATATAAAATAAATTAGAAACACGTATTTTGTTTATTAACTACCTTTTCAAGATAGTTTTCGATTAAAGTTTGATTGATAATCGTTAAAAACATTTTTTTTAAATTATCTGTTACCGAGAAACACAGCTTTATATGCTACATAAACATATGCACATAAATGTAAAACAGTTCAGTTCATTACAACACTAACACAATACGTCTGCCCTCTACCATTTGCCACTTATTGTGTCCACGAATTTACATATGACAACGTTCGAGAATAAACGAATAATTGACTTAACTTCTTTTTTTGTTTTTTTTTTTTTGGTTTTATCAAAATTATCAATAGCTACGTAGGATTTAATGGATTCGATTTTCAAATTAACTATGAAATTATTTTATTGTTGTCGTTTGAAATTCGTGCCAAACACAACAAAATGTATGCACCTATATTAATAATACACGAAATTCGATATCGATTTTACCATGGTGATGAAGGAAACCAAAAATAATAGTATTTTCATTTAATGGCGCTGAACATTCGTCACTAATTTTTTAGAAATTATTTTTTCGCAGCGTCATGCATTTTTGTTCTTGTGCCTTTTAGGATTTTTTGGAAGTGACTCAAATAGAACGCACCCGTATTATATTTTAGTTACAAACAGTATTACGATCAATTGTAATCCGAAATTGAATTATTGGCGATCAAAATGTTAGTGACTCGTTCGGTTTTTACGAATCGCGTATATTATTATGCAGTAAAAGCTCTTTATACGCTGTGTGTATGTTCCGTAAATATGTCGCGAATACAGAAACCGTAAATATGGAAAAGCGCGCTTGCAAAGGATATGCGGTTGAATACCTCTAAGCTTTGTAATGATTTTATCAATGTGTAGGCCCCGATGTACTGATAAGATCCGGGAATAAAGAAACCTTTAGCCGCGTATATAGAAATGGGGTCACATTATTTTAATGCGAGTGAAAACGCAATTGAAGGAAGCACGAATAAAGAGCTTTTTCTGTATAAATAAAAGTCATCGATAAAAGCCGAGTCGTCTGTGACCACGAAAATTGATTTCGTAACGTTTACAATTATAATATAATAAAAATAATCAAAGCGAGAAAACCGCAAAAGTACTATAGTTTTGATCACCTAACATTACTGTTGAAGCCTTTGTTACATACGAACATAAATACGTCACGCACTAATGGTTTTTTAATAATAGTACCTGCTTACAACAAAAGTTAAAAGCGTGAATGTTTGAAACAACAACATGAATCAATTCACACTTATGTATGTATACATACACTTTCTACTCTATTCCGCGCCAATTTGTATTGTACATACAGAGACACACGGAACGTCCGTTAAAGTATTGATCATATTGAATTCTCACATTTCCCTATTGACAAATTTTATGTGACCTGTCAATGCTATGTTACGATACTAGGTATCGGTCCTTTTCAGTTTGGCGTTGAAGGTATGGTAGTTATACATTAAAGCACTCAGGCGGCAGTTCTAAATGGTCGGTGTAAACGCCGACATCACCGCGATAATTAGTTTTCGGCTGTCTAGCGGGTCACGAGTCCGAACATTCCGATGTACTGCCGACTCATCCACGGGCTTATCTCTACACAGATACAGGTGTTTTTGTATGTATGTTTCTATACAAATCGGTTTGCGGGGCCGCCGCTTCAAATAACGTTATGACTTCAACGGCTTCGTTGTAATGAATCGGTATATGAAAAATAATCGTAACGTAAAAAGGAACATCACGTGAACAAGTTCATTACGGCCGTCTGGTGTAGTGGTAAGTGACATGGTCACTACACAAGGGGGTTGCGGGTTCGAATCCCCCCAAGGGAAGATATTTGTATGATAAATATAAATGTATTTTCCAGGGTTATGGATGTATATTAAATATATGTATGTGTATAATAAAAATCTTACATTTATTTCCGTTATCTGGTACCTGCAACACAAGTTCTTTACGAACTTATCACGGGACCAGTTAAAGTGGCGTGATTGTTAGTAAATATTTATTTATTTATTATTAGTTTATTATGATGAGCAGAAAAAAAAATTAAAGTATCTTGATTTTAATTGAGGGACGTACAATTCAAATAAGATTCGCATCTACAGCTAGTCTTAAAGCGTTCACAAATCTCATCTGATACTGCTCGTTTTTGATAGGTGAAATGTCCCATAGTTTTTCTAATGGTATTCGACTATGTTCTGGAAAATCTTCTGTCAATTGTAACGCACTGGTCCCCTCGTTTGCTAAGAGCGGAATTGACGTCAGGCATGTAAGAAATCCGAACTTTCCGTATATTTTGAGTTCGTTTTCGAAAGCGTCTCTTGGGAAGACAATTGCGACGTCCATGCCCATGTCTTTCAAAAAATAATCTAAAAAATTATAATAATGGTCGAGAGCTTCCTCAAACTGTTCGACATTTGAGCAAACGTTTGTGCACATAAACAAGAAAAGCATTAGATCCGTAACTGGCGAAGCGCATCGTATCATCTGAAAATCAATCGCAACAGTTCTGCCTTTAGAACGAAGAAAATTCGGAGTCCAAGAGTCTCCGTGATTGATCACAGTGAAATCTCCACGAGTCGTCGTCATTTCGATCAAGCACCCGTACACGTCTTGACCGAGCAGCTCGTTATATTTTTTATAGTAAACAGACGATGGATCTTCGTGTTCAATTAAAATCGCTTGATCTATCATTACAGCTTTGTGTTGAAATTTCGAATACCAATCACGATTTTTTTCAGTATAGTACGCTTCTGGAATTAAATCGGCAATCCTTTTGAATTCATCGGGCTTCTTGATTCGCAAAGTCATCGATACTGCGTGCAAATGTGCTAGTGTCTCTAGAACTGAATCCCGTTCGCACTTTGTAGGGTGTTTCGTTAAAGATTTACAGCGACTTTCGCCAAGATCTTCTAGAACGATATAATCATTAACGCCGTCCAGATAACAACCATAACAAATAGGCACGCTGTTCTGAATGCATTCGCTCGCACCTAACGATTGCTGCAAATCGACTAGTATAGGTAGCACATCAGAGTAAAACAATGCCTCTCTTCTGAATAGTTCGGCACAGTTTAAAGAGTTTTTGATGCGTTCATTGTCAACGAAACCCTTCCCGATAAAGGATGTGGAATATCTCTTGCCTGTAACTTTGATCCTGTAGACTGCACTGAGGAGACCTTCGCCATTTGGTGCTGCTTTTGTTAATTCAATATTTTCTATGTCTTCATCGCTGTCTGTCTTCAATTTAAAAACTTCCGCTATAACATTTTTAGTAAGGTATCTTGAAATAACATCCAGCGATAGTGGTTTCATGATTTCAATTAAAAAACATATCTTTGTGTGACCGAATTTAAATAGAACTACGTCAGGCATTTATAAATATAGGATCTGTGTACATTAGTTGATTATGAAACTATCTAAATAAATTATTGCATTTCAATTGTCACTTTGTTGTCGTGTAAGTATTTGATTAATAGTTCTCAAACAAGCATATGTTATTATATTATTGTATCCAGGTATGGATCTTTTCAACTCAGTGACACATAGCCCAACGATTAAGAACTTAAAAGACTTCACAATGAATTGCTAAAAACGATACTCATAATAAACTGACCCATAGCTTCGAAATATCGTATCTCCAAATAATGTAGACAGCGGATTGACTCTGCCTCTGGAATTGCTGAAGTCCATGGGCGACGGTAACCTCTCAACATCAGGTGGGCCGTATGCTCGTCTGTCTATAAGAGCAAAGAGCAAAAAAATCTTAATAAAGTTTAAATATTAAAAAGTATGCAATATTCTATATCTTAGGAAACGAAACCCTTGTTTTTATTTGACCATTAAAAATAAACAAGGCTCTATTGTTGCAACGCCTCCATGTATTCGCACAAATAACATTATCAATTTGTATTTTCTTTGGCAGGTAAACATTATTTTCAAATCATAGGAGTAAATGGAAAAATAAATATAAATAGACAATAATCAGTTCAATGACGATGAAGACATGTTGACATTATTATGTTGATTCATGATATGAGATGCGATAACCAAATCAGAGTTAATGTCACTTTCATACGACCGTTGCTTACTATTACCGACACGCTCACGCTGACGCTGACGACGAGACCGCGGCTACATAACCGTCACTTTTCCCAACAACAAAATTAACATATCCTTCCTCAAAGGAAGCTTATTTAAGTAGGCAGAAAGTAACATTCATTAGCAAGGGACATTGAACACCGTATCAATACCTAATGAAATTAGGTACATTTAATTATAATCTATTTTTGGCATATTTACCTACTGAACTTCTTAAATTTAATATTATTAACACAAAACTACAAACAGCTCCTCCTCTGTAAAATATGTAAATGAAAATTGGAACAACGAAATGAGAACAAACTTTTACCTTAAAATGGATTTCTCAAATACAAGAGACCTGTAATCGTACATCACAATGCAATTTCCTCCCTGCGGATGAACTATGAACAAAAGCTATGTAAATATAAATGGCCTAAGCACAACTTATAGGTACGAAATAATACTGGGCGTTGCACTAAAAGAAACAAAATCCCATTGTTTCATTTATTACAATTATAGAAATATACATACAATATAAAAGCGGAAAAGAGTTTATTTCTTAAACTTTCACGTCTTGACTCCTCATACGATCTTCCTCATCCTGATACCATCCTGATGAAATTTAGCATACACTTTGTCTATGCTAAAAAAAAGGTATGGTGTAACATTCATCCAGTAAGAAAGTACTATTGCTGAGGGAACAAGGATCTATCATCAAAAAGTAACTTCTATTAGGGCACAACTCAGACCGCTAATTCTATTTTAAAATTGAACAGGTCAATTTGAATACTGAACAGAACTCCCGGAATGAAATGTAAAAATATAATACTATAATGAAAGATTCAATGACATATTATTATGTTGATTGACATCATATTAGCTGCCATATTGTGGCCGTATTTCAATATAACTGTGACATTATAATATGTCGTGTTATGAAGACATTTTGAAAGTGTAATTAACCTTTATTATGTATCTGGCTGTTTCTAGTGTGGGTGTAAAATGTAAAAAAAACGAGTAGTTGGAATATAAATTCATATTAAAACGTGAAAGTTTTTTTAAATATGTGTTGAATAATTGAATAATATGTGCGGCTTTATCGCTCCATTTTGAATCGAGTATTTCCTATAATTAAGATTTCTTGACTCTCATAACTCATTTATGACCAATGAATCGATCCAGTATTATAAACTTTACGATCGTGTTGCTATTGGCATGAATGATCGCATCACTCAATTGCTAAACTAAAATCAGTGAATTGTATATATTTAATTATATCACAGGAAATCGACAATTATGTACATAATAGTTAATGAGATTTTTTTTAGTCGGTGACTCGAATAGGATTTGCATAAAAAAATTCCATCGACATCACCACCGAGTCGGTGTGTTATTTCCTGTGTTACGAATACAAATGCAATATGGGCATTTAAAAAACTGACGAATGCGATAATTATCCAGTTTTTATCGTTTTAGTTTTATATTTACCTGTTTATCACCGTACAACCAAACATCGAACTAAATACATAAATAACCGATATTGTTAAAAAAAACACATACATACATTTCCTGCTACTGGTGTTCTCTGTCACTTAATTAGCGTTTTCGACATCGTAACAAACTACCTAACAAGCAATAAAACATGAGGGTTATTGAAAAGAATAACAATAAAAGGTGAAACAAAATGGCCGATAGTTACCTGCGCGGCGTTCTACCCTCTCCTTGTTTTTTTTTTTTTTCATCCTAAGACAGGCCACGGCGTTCTACAGATAAAAGCCTGTTGTAGACACGAGTAAGACAAAAGCACGCCGTGTTGTAGTTTTGTTTTTGATTTTAATCGTTCTCTTTCGTCTTCGGACAGTGTGGCCTTTTAGTGTGGAGATTTATATGTGCCCATCATTCGATACGCCGGCTATGACTGCTTTTGGAAACAGAATACTTTTTTCATTTTTATTTACTAATTTAATTTATGACCCTCTGAATCTACAAAGTGACATTAGATCTCTTTGTATTTTGAATAATTTGGTTCGTGAAAAACGCCAGAGGAGATTACCACTGCGTTCTTCGACAAATTCTTTTTTTGTTTCTTCTTCTTCTTTTTCCTTTTCTTTCTGCTATTTCAAAACTAACGAGATTTTAAATGATTGTCTAGATATTGTCTTGGTAATGACCCTTTACTGATATCCAAGAGAAGGGCCGTTTTACTATAAGGTGAGCTGGATTCGTCTACCTGCAAAGACAACAAACAGCATTGAAGCAAACATTTGTAATGAAATGTAAACACCCTTTTTTCTAAAACAATCAAATGATGAACTCTAAAATATTTTCAAGCTGAAAACGAAGCTAAAATTAAAATGTATGCATAGAGAAGTAAAACCATACACTAAACAACTACTTTTTAACTAACTAACCACTTTTTATGCTTTAATAAAGTGACAACACTTACATATTATTAAACGGCGGATGGGGCAGAAAGATCCTTGCGTGGAGACCACTGGCGAGCGCAGTGTGGGACAGCTATCTACCAGATGGACCGACAACCTAGTGAGAATAGCTGGGTCACGTTGGATGCAGGTGGCAAAGAGTCGGCCGCACTGGACATCACTTGGAGATGCCTATGTTCAGCAGTGGACAGAGTGAGATGATGATGATGACATAAATGCTGCCTATCATCTTGGTGATAGTTAAAAAAGATCGTGAGCATCAATGCGTAGGCACAGTAACGAGCATGAAAACTAACTACGGATTCGATGACTATAATAAAGACGGAAATTTTAAAAAAGGAAGACCCGCTCATATAACACGATTCGCATTTATATTTCGTTTAAATATTTAGAGGCAAAAAACCTCTTTTGTAGCGAGCGTGCGAACACAGATGATCCTTTTGTTGTCATACGATGTACATCTATCTCGATGATCTTTATTTTGGAGCAAAAAAAAACCGTATGCATGGCCGCAAGATATCTTCTATGTACTGAACAGTTTCATTCAGTAAGGCCGCAAAGAACTCCAAGAGTTAAGATCATTGCTCTTTAGTGACGAAAACAAGTTTTTGAACTTAATCAGCTAATAATAAATCAAGCAAGATTTTTTTTGTATCACACTGAGAAATAGCAACATTCTTCCGACTTTACTCCTGGGAAAAAACTACGTTAAATTTATATAAGGTTTTTTATTTGTTTTTTTTACATCAATGTCAATATTATTATTAAACAAGCAAGCAATACTATTTTTTTTTTATAATTTTACCATAACGCCGAATTCAGAACGAAATGCCACAAAGCGTCTTGCAAAATAACAATGGTGTATGCAGAAACGAAATATAAATATTGTTCAATCTAAAATGCTGCTTCCAGGAACACAGATCATTACCATGTGAATTACTCATATGAGATGCAACTGGATGTAATCTTCATGTCCTCGACAACTTTGCATATCATTGTTCGTTTGAACAACCCTTTGAAAGACATCTAATTTGGAATTCCGTTCTTAACAACATTTATCAGTTTCATCAAAACAATATTCAAGATTCACGAAGCATCTTTTGTTCGCGTTATTGAAAATCTTATCTCCCGTCTTCGATGCATTGAAGATTGCGTTTAAATTGTTAAAAAAATCAAATTAAAACTTTTATGTTATTCTAAATAAACATGTTCAGAGTATTAAACCAATATCAGCTTATCAAAATAACATTTCTCATTTTTTTTTTTAAAACGACACACTTTTAATCTGTCTTTTGTCCATATCAAGTAAAAAAATTATAATTGATTTAGAATATCGCAACAGAACAAGAAGGCGTTTCATAAAACCTCTGATATACCAGATATTTCTTGACTTATCTTGATACCATTAAAACGAACTGTCGGGGGTGGCATCTGCCACGAAATTTGATTTCTTACCATTCCACTAACGATTCGAATAGTTCTTTATATCCAACGGAGTATTAAAAAAAAATAAGTCAAACGATACTGCTACTTATCTCCGAAGAATTAAGTGTAAAGTTGTTTGTATAATATAAAGGTTTCGTCATGGCTTTATATCATAAACTCGGTATCGTCCAACCCCAACTCAGTGGGGTACTGAAAGCTAAGATTGTGTTTTTATTACGAACATTTTATAATGTACCGCGATTATTAAGTTTCTACTTTTATTATTAATGATCGGTAACATAATTTCTAATGTGGCTCTAACTTCGGTTCAAGAAGTTTCTTTTTCCTTTATTTTTAGTGGAT